AATAGTACTTAGTGACTTTCAGGTTTATACATCAGCTTTTTTGTGTAGGTGGAGAGCAGTCCATACTGCAGGCAGAAGTAGTTCTGGTCTGTGACTGCGGCATGCAGGTAGCAAAAAAACTATGGTGGAACAAAATTATATGCCAAGATTAGATTTATATAGAAAGGCTTCCAGGTGGTTGTATTAAGTTAAAAAATGCTTCTCTCCCCTCCACCTTGCCTGAAAGCAAGAAAGGCAGAGAAAGTAGAGCCTTTAATATATACTTATAAATAGTAAGAATAATAGTAAGAAGGACAAAACGCAGTTACTGGTTTTGAAAACATGAGTTAGTTGAGTATTAGGAGGTTTGTATTGTAAAATGGAGTGCAGGCTTTGCTTTTCGCTTCTGAAAGATGGCATCTGTTCGCACAGTGGTGTACCACCCTGAGGAGATAGCCCTTTGATATGGGGTGGAGGGAAGTAGTAATTTTAGCAGGCAATAAATTGCCCGTGTAAATGTCAAGAGAGAAGGAGTGGAGAAATCACTGCTGTCGTGTGCTGTAATTTGGTTTACAGAATTAGTTGTGTCCGCAACATTGGAAATCCTGAGATTTAACAGGAAAATTGAGCGGTCCAGAATCCGGCTGTGATACCTAACGTTAAAATTTTGCTGAGTCCCTAGTAAGTGCCGAGATTATTTTCATAGCGCTTCTCTCATTAGGGCTGCATTTGCTCTGCCGGGGTGCAGCAGTGCTGCTAAAAGGAAAGGTTGCAGCTACCAGGGGACTGAAATTAGGCTGGAAATGCCCGCTTTAATTGCATTTTGGTGTGACTGACTATGCTGTTCAACAGTGAAAGTTTCTACAGCGCATTTGATAGCAGTAGCTGGAAGCACTAGAGGCCAGCATGTTCAGCTGTAATATCAAGCCACAGTAGGGTTATTTGAGGACACTGTTCCAGGATTAACTCTTGAATTGCCTACTCTGATCTATTTTAATGGTAACACTTGCAGGTTTTGCTTGTGTATTTGATTGTTCAACTTAGAGTTCACGTCGATGGGAGAAACCAAATGAAATGTAGATCCTGTAATTTATAAGCTATATAAAGTTGAAGCTCTTCATTTAGATATACTACACTGCCTTAAGTGTAGGTTCTGGGTAGACCAACCACCTCTGCGGTACGCACTGCTGCGGAAACTTAGCATAACCACGCGTTTGGGATTAGAAGAGCAGGCTAAAATGTGGTAAACTACCAATTGTGATTAACTTCCTGTAGCTCTCCTGAAGGTGACATTCAGGGGCGTATTTTAAAAAAAATGCTTGACTTAATTGTGTATTCAATCCAAAATTGAAACAGCTTCTCTGTGGGATATTCGTAATGCACTCAAGCTCTGCGAATCCTGCATGAGTCAAAATTGCTTGGTGTTAACCCAAATTATCCTAAATCGGAAGCTGCAGACATGAAGCACGGTATGTGAAAACATGAAGCTGCCCTTGTTGATCATGGATCTGTCTCCTTAAGGACTTGAGAGGCTTCCTTTTGTTTTCCAAGGCCTATATTTGAAGGGAACGGCAAATTTGTGGTGAATTTGATACTGTGAGAAACTAAAATGTGCTTCCTGAGTTTGGGGGGTGGTTGTTGCTTAAAATTTCTCTCTTCCAATCCCAATCAGGACATTTGCTTTCCTGTACGGTTCTTGCACACTGACGGCAGCTATTCCGCAAATGAGGGGATGTGGGATGGGGAAAAAGGGAATAACGTGGAGAAAATCCATGTTATATGTTGCCCAGCAGACCTCTTAACAGGATTGACAATTATTAAGTTTACCAAAAACACATGGATGTGGGCTGTTAAAGATTTCCTTCTCGAGAAACAGGAAGTACAGTGGAATTGGTTTTTTGGGGAGAAGATGCTTGTATTGAACTTGTAATAAGGAAGTAAACTGAGGCAGTTTTTGAACAGAGTGCTGAAACAGGCTTTCAGGTGCAGCTTTTCTCAAGAGATGTCTCTGCCACTTTCCTTTTTTAATTGCCATGTAGCGAAGGCAGATGCAAATGAACTATGTGGGGTGGGGCTTCCTTTGGCACAAGTCGAGCTAATCCTGCACTGTGGCTGGAAGTTGCACCTTCCTGCCCCCACCCGTGTGCTGGCACTGGCGCACTGGAAGCCTGGTCACCAGCTCGGGGAATTTATTTCTTTCAAAAGTGAAGCGACTAGAAGGCAAAGTTTTCATATCGTTCAGCTGGTCGGCTCTGCAAGTACAACCCTGACAGAGGGAACGGAGTCCGGAGCGTGAGCTGTTTCGGGGAGGGTGGAGTAGGCTCTTTGTGGCCGTGCAGACTTTACTTCAGTCAGACCTGTTATGAAACCACATCTGTAAGTATTTTCCTCCACCAATCCAGATAAGCGTGAATGCTTTTTCGTAAACTTTCAACAGTGGGCCTTTTGAATGTGAGCAGTTCTCTTGATGGAAGAAGATAGCCTTGTTAAGGTGGTGAACTGTGCATTAGGGAACCATGAAGAAATCAAGTTTTTCAAGATTCTTGTTTAAATAACCTTCGTAGTCAAATTTAATCCTTTCATGCAGAATTGAGGAAAAGTGAGATGTTTGACCTGGGGTAAATCTAAACCTTGGTCTGAAGTCTTCAAACTCAGATGATGCTTCAAGTGATACGATCTGCTGCAATTTTCTGGAAACGCTTGGTAGTAAAGATGCTGCAGCGGAGCAAAGCCAAAAGTCCAGACTACAGTGTGCAAGGCATTCAGAATCGCTGATTGCCTCCCTACTTTGAAAACCAGTGGAAACAAATCTAAAGGCTCTACTGCTTTTCAGAGTAATCTTCAGTGTTTGCTAAGATATACTACAAAATATATGTTGTCTGCAAATACCGGTTGACTCCTCAGCCTGGTTGACTCCTCAGCCTGGTTGACTCCTCAGCCTGGTTGACTCCTCAGCCTGGTTGACTCCTCCTTTAGTTGTAAGTATTTATCAACACTGTTGCAGTATAAAAATGATTCACAGCTACTTAATCTGTTTAGATGCGTAAACTGAGTTCTTCCTCAGTTTACCATATGCACTTTGATTGCTGTACATGCAAATTTTAAGTATATTTGTATGAAGGATACGGGATGAGACAATGGTGAAAAAGGTAGTTCCTGAAGTGCAGATTTTGGATTATCAAGCATGATATGCCAATCAAGATGAAGACAGGACAAGCGAAGAATAGCTTGTGAACCTTGGGGGACCCCTGCCAAAGGGAAGACTACTTGGAATTTCTTATAGGACTTCTTAAGTGAATGAGAGAACTTACGACTAGAACACAAGAAAGAAATCTATAGTAGTTTAGTTTGGATGAAATCCGTAAGAGTTTGTGGATAATGGCCAAAGATTAATCTTTCGAGGCATAAGACTAAATGAATGGTTTCATGAAGGCCTTTTAAGGAACAAAAGACGCTAATGTGTGACGCTCAGAAGACTTCTTCAGAAAAGTTGCACTGCTTCTATGTTAAATAGATATGAACTCAAGAAATCACGGTTCCCTGTTAGCTTTAAACAGTAAAGTTTCCTTTCAGCTCTTTTTTTAATGTAACACTGAAGTCTTAAAGAATGAAGAGTTAATACTTCTGGAATGTTTATTAGTATTCTTAGGTATTTTAGATTACAGCAACCAGAACAGCGTGCATGACAAAGCTAGTTATTTGTATTCTGTGGAGTATTGAGTTAAATGAATTTTAATATGGAAAAAGTGGGAATACATAAGTGGTCTTCAGTGTGTGGGTGTGAACATGTGCAAGTGTAATATGAAATTATGGTATGAAAGTGTCTGTTGACAACATTGTCTCCTGAGTTAGTGGGATACATCTGTCTAGCTTCAACAACTTGTCAGATTGTATTGCCAAAACTTCATTCAATATGTACAACCTCCTTGAAAGGTACTCTTGCTATATGCAAAAGAGCTGGGATGCATAATATGTAGGAAGACTCCATTAAATCTGTCCTACAAACTGTCAAAACAATCAAGCCCTTGACATTAATGCAGTAAAGTGTGTTTTGCTTTAAGGCTTGGTCCTCCATTAATAAATTTTTGGTGTTCTAAAATCTGTTTCAAAATTACCATTTTGAATCAGAATGGAAGTTTCTGCTTTGAAACATACATATAAACAAGCACCATGTTTCTTAGTTTGCTGCAGTACCACCTTCTGCATTGTTTTCTTGTCTGTTTCTAACAGAAGTTCTGCTTCATCTGTATGGTTTGACACCGGTGAATAAATTCTGAAGAAAGGTGTTAGTTGTGCTATTTTAACTTTTTTCATGTTTGGGGAAAAAGGTTGTCAAAATTCTTGATAAACCTTTTGTGGTTGCTAAACTTAAGTCTAAAACTTGTTTAAGGTAATTCAGGTTTTTCTGAGCAGTAAAGCTAGGAAGAATGAGAAGTTGTCTGAATGTTTCAAAATCATGTTCTTTATACAGAGTGTATCAAGGAGCCTAAACCACTTTTCTGCTTGTCCTTCCTCAACTGCAAAATATCTTTTATCCCGAAGTGGGGTGGTAGGACAGAGGTGGAGTTAAAGTGAAACTGCCAGAACCGTTTCAATGACTAGCTTGTTGAAATTTCTGCTAGATGAGTGTCTCCGATGGTGTTCCTAAGCCTAGGTTTGGGCTGTGCATTTGTCACAACCAACTGGTATGAACAAGTGTAAGTTAACGGTAGTACAGAAAAATAAGATGATGCCTTCTCTCTTTGCATTTCCAGGCAAAAAGATTGTGGTCTTAAAAAGCCATTATCTCGTATACAATTTATAGCTAATGATGAGACTGTAGGATACATGTTTCTTTTTTCTGAAGATGGTCATATGATATGACCGTTATTTTGGCATCCAGCTGCTTATCTGGGCACCTGTACATCCCCAAGGTTGAAAGGGTTTAAAGGTGGAGGTTGGTAAGGAGAAAAAGGGACCGTATGAGAAGGGGTGTAGGGACCCAAGTTTTAAGGGCAGCTTTTTGTGGGGAAAGTTGGGCCATGCCTCTCCAGTTCTTACAGCATGGAAGTGTGGAAACCAAAGATGAAGATGTGGGTTATTTCCCAAATAGCCAGGGTAAGGAACTGAGCAACTTCTGAAAGGCTTTGCTGTACCTACGGTAAATCTTGGCCCTTGACCTATTTGCCTGTCATAGTTCACATTTTATCCATTTCTGCCAAGTAGATGTGATGTACTTAATTTCTTAGATACTGTTTGAAATAGATTTGAATTTATGATTAGCTGGATTAACTTATGATTTAACTGGATAATAGCAGAGTAATAATCACTATCGCACTTCGAGAATTTTATTTGCATTGATATGCAAAGACTTGTGCAGCAGACAAATATAGCACGCTGCTCTGTCTCTTGAAGGTCGGCCTGAAGTTAGGTTGCCTTAAACTGTAGCTTGATACTCAACTCCTTGTCCAAGTTGCGTGGTTGTGCTAGCAGAGTGCTGGGAAGTGAGGAATACAGCTTCTCTTGGCAAGTGCTTCCTCAGGTGATGGAGCTGGACTGGCTGGAAGACATTCACTTGTGAAAGACAGTCTAAACAGAAAAGTAGTTCAATGTCAAGTTGCAAATGTAATCTTCAGTTATCTTCCTGGGCTATTTTCAAGGGGGAGGGGGGGGTGCTCTTTGTTCTGTTGGGGTTTTTTGTTGTTCTTCCTTGCAATCTTTGGAGTTCTGTATTGTGACCTTTTTGTACTAGATAGTATAAAAACTGAGAATAGAAAAGTATGATTCCTACCTGAAAACTCTTAATTTGAAGTACCTTGTAAGCCAACAGATGGATACACACTGATTAGGAAAGTAAGAAAGCCAGCTGGCTGTCGTGACAGGCAACTCTATAATATGCTATAGCAAACAAGGCTTTCCTCTTCTATCTTCTCTGCCCTATGGCAAAATCAACTCTGTCATGTCATATCTGATGGATCTTAGGCTTAAATCCCCTTAAAATTTCCCCAGGTTGGGGGCTCTAATGATTCTTCCGATACTCTGCATGGTGTTATCCTTATTCCAGAGTCTTTTTTTCCTGGTATCTTACCCACGTCTGTCATGCTGTGATTTTGGTATATTACTACTTTGAACCTTCCTTACTGTTAACAGATTGCCCTCTGTATTCAGAGGCTACTCTGTTATGTTGATTGGGTAAGTGTGTAAATGAAGGCTTGCAATCAGAGTTAGTGGGGAGGGGTTAATGAGCAACTCCAGCTGTATAGTGTATGGTATGAAGATCGCATTTAACAGATCGTGGCTTTCTTCAACCAAGAAGAAAGCCTTCTTTCCTCAAGGGGAGGAACTTCACATGTTAAGCAGAAGGAACATGGAGGATGCCTATAGAGTTAATTCAAAGAAGATCTGGAATTGAATTGGAGGAGAGACAACAGTAACTTATCAAAAATTGATCTGAATCTGATATGGGGAGACAGTTTTTGTAGAGGAAGGTACAGTTCAGGCATACTGTTTTTTATGTTGGCATGTTTATGTGTAGATCCACAGCAGCCTTGTGCTAGGCAGGAGAATTAAAGTGGTCAATGCTCAACTGTATAATCATTAATCAAGATGGTCTCAGCGTCTACCTATGCATCTGTTGACAGAGGTGTGATGGAGTTGACCATGTCCTGCTCCACTGGTGGAAGAGAGAGTCAGCACTAATCTTTGTCAGTATTCCTAAAGACCACCTTCTCTGTTTTGTGCTAAGAGATGTTAGTGTTGTCAGGGTTGGTACCGCAGTTGCTGGTGGTTCATGCAGCTTTGGGAACTTAAAGCAATGCAGGTCATGGCAGGTGAATACTGCTGTGTGCTGATGTTGACTCCTGCCAGTAGCAACGCTCTTTCCACGAAAGCCAGGTTTTGGCTGCCATGTGCATTGCTGGCATTTGTTGACATTGGGTTCGTCAGACTTTGGACCATCAGTGTGGGCACAAAGACTTTATTGCATTGACTTACTACTTCATAGTCAGGTATAGTGCTGCAGGCTGAGGCTGCCTTTTGTTGCTAAGGTCTTCTAGTGATTATTATGCAGTTAGACTGAGCTATATATGTTTAATATATTTTAAAAGTAGCTTGCCTGTAGTTGTTGGAACAAATCAGTAATATTTTCAGCTTTTGCTACGGGTTGGCAAATAGCTTTGTGGACCTTTTGTCAGAGTGGGGCTGAAATTTCTTAGCTATAGTTGCTGGATATATATCACACTATTTGCTTGGTAATGTTACCAAGAGAGGGGATATTACCATTACTACCTCATCAGGATTTCATCAGGTACCTGCCATCTGTCATCCTGCAACAAGGAGGAGAGAAATACATCTCTTACTATTGTTCTTGCAATTCCAAGAAGATCCTTGAAGCCCTGTTTCATATGCGTTTCAGTAGTACTGTCAAGGGGGTCCATTTCTCACCATTTCAGCTGCATTTCTGACAGTTTACTTGGCGTTACGATACACTCAGGGTGAAGCTCCTAGACTTGCCTTTTTAAAATGATGCCAGGAAAATTTCACTGACATATTCAGAGACTTAGTCCTCTGCTTGGTGGTGGTTGTAAGCAACAACAAGGTATAGTGGCCACAGCGTTGGCAACAGTCAATGCTATGGCTCCAGTCCTCATAAAGATCCTTATAAAGGAAGATCCTTAGGGAAGACCTGCATTTCAGTGAAACAGTACTGATCCGTTGAAAGACTGAGGTCTTTCGTCTTGGGAAGGGTTCTGTGCTATTAAAGCTTTCTCTGTTACTGGTGTAGATCAGGTGGTCTAAAAACAGAAGCGAGATTTGCAGTGAAAGGAAGAGGAGAGAAGAGTTTATCCTGTTTTCTGATAGAAATGTTAAGTTTAAAATCCTAATTTGTACCTATGCGCTCTGGCTGCTTCGATGGTGCACTGCTTTACCAGGTGGTCAATAACACCAGCCACATTAAGCTACATGCTACTGCTAACTTCAGCCACTTGTGTAGAAATGGGAAAAAAGGAAAACGATGGCTGCAAACCCGTGGTAAACCTAAACAGTTGCTTTATCCCACGTGTTGTGCATAGAGTGGAGTTCATGGGCTTCTGCTGTTAAATTCAGCTGTGCTGCAAGTGCAGTTAAGGCAGTGTCTATGCAGCGGATGGAGAGCTGGTGCTGGTAACTGCAGTTGGAAAGATCCACTTCCTGAAGTGCTTAAAACCTGCTAGTCCTGGTATTTCTGGCTTGCAGAAAGGTAATTTAAGTTGTGCACCCCAGTGATCTTTAGCGTCAAGAAAGAACTGACTGGAAGTTGGGAGTTCATTCCCTTGCGTTGAAACTAAAACCTTGAAGTTGGAAAAGGGGAATGCATGGAATGCATTAAAGCAAGAAATACGAATTTTATCTCTAATGACATAGCATTTTAAAACTGTTTCAATGATGAAATAATGACAGTTACTGAAAGTATCTTTCAAAGACATTTCATGTTGTACATACCCGATGATCCAAGGAAAGGTCAAGTTTATTTAGGTACCTAATTAGCTGCTTGAAGTGTGTGCATAGAGAGAGAGAGGAGTTGGCTTCTACTCAGCAGTACAACTTGAATTTTACTTCTTGGGGGGGGGAAATCAGTACTAAGTTCAGGCTCTCTCCCTCTAAGTGTGTCATAAACTGAAACATTAGGGTCTGATCTTTAAGCTTAATAAGCTTCCCTTTAGAATTCTAGTATATCAAGTAGTACTGCCTAACTTTTAGTTGAGGAATACATTTGCTAATTAGGCTAGCATATGTGCCTGATAAGTCAAGTTGCCTCTGAATTTCTACAGCCACCTGAAATGTTTTAGGCATGGTGCTGTGGGGAGGGAGGTGGGAAGGTGCTGCAGAGGTGCACAGTTTCTGCAGGAAGTCTGAAGGGAATACAGAGGATGCTATTTATCTGAGCAAATATTGGTTGACTGTCTTGCATGTGAATGTCTGAATTTCCTTCGTAGTTAGGAGAGCCCAGGGTGCAGTTTCCCTGCCCTATTTAAAGCATCTTGGATGCAGCCATCTATGCATGTATACCATGGCCGGGTGAGGTACGTGCCACAGAAGTTTTCTGGATTTCTTTAAGCCATGTAATGGCTTTTCCATCTTTGACAACTGATAGTAAACACGTGGAATTAAAATTGGTTTACCTCATTAAAAGGGAAATATCAGGCAAACTGTGGCACACGCTTTTCTGCCAGCAAGGGTAACAAGTGGAGGTAACTGGACTGTGCACTAAAATAACTAAAACATTTCTTCTGACAATCCTTTGCTGCGGTTACTGACTTAAATGGAGACAAAATGGACACCTGGAAGTGGCAACTAAGCTGTTGCAGCAAAACAGTAGAATTTTTCTGTACATACTTGCCTGGACGTCTAATACATTGCAACAAAGTGCAAGTGAGCATTGAGAGGTGAGCACTGCAGCAGGATGGAGCAAGCTCGCTGTTACATATCAGGGAATAAAGCACACGCTCTCTTCTTGCTTTCCTTACAGAAAATATGATCTAGAGAGCATCATTAGGACTTCTTGGTTTGTGTTTTGAAGGATCATCACTGCCAACCTTACAAGGGCCTGCAAATATGCTTGTGAGTTTGACCGACTGCTTTGAAATCTGAAGAAAATAAAGGAAGCCATCTGACTTCCTTTCTAAATGACTGCCTCTCAGATTTCTTCTGGCTTGCAGAGGAATACCTTTGATAAACCTCAAGAAGATTGTGCAATGCAGAAGGAAGGGAAACAAGCATGTGTCCTTTTCTCCCCGCAGGCTTGTGTTCTTGGTGTTACAGACTGTCATGTGAACCTCCTCTTCTGCAGCAGGAGTGGTTCTTGCTACGGTATCTTGCCTTAGACTGTCAAATATATTTCCTTATATCCTAATATAAAAATAGATCAATCCTAATATAAAAATAGATCAGGAGAAGGCAGGGAACAGTTGTAGCAATAGGATAGAGTGCCATAGAAGTTGAAAAAGAGCTTGTGGTGTTGTGAAATGCTGATCTGCTGTTTGGTTTGTCATGAAGGTCTCTTCTGTTCTTGAGGTCCCTTGCTACCAAAAGATGTGTCATTGAAGTCCTCAGACTTTCTCTCTTACAGGATTATAAGG